CATGAAACATTTACCAAGACAGCCCACATTCTGGGCCATAAAGCACAACTTAACAAACTTGAATAAAAAACAGAAAGCATGCAAAGTATGTTCACAGATTACAATAGAATTAAACTGGAAATCAGCAGCAGAAAGCTACAAACTCCCTGAAATTAAACAACACATTTCTAGATAACACATGTGTCACAAAAGAAGTCTCAAGAGGGATTTAAAAATATTTTAAGCTAAGTGAAAATGAAAATTCAGTCTATCAAAATTTGAGGGATATGGCAAAAGCGGCAGTTCGAGGGAAATGTATAGCATTAAAAGCATCCACTGGAAGAGAAGTCTAAAATCAAAAACGTAAATTTCCATCTTGAGAAATTAAAGAAATAAGAGCCATGTGTGCCTAAAGCAAGCAGAAGAAAAGAAATAATAGAAATTGCAGAAGTAATCAATGAAATTTAAAACAGGTGAAACAATGGATAAAATCAACAAAGCCAAAATGTGTTTCTTTGAAAAAATAAAATAAAATTGGTAATTCTCTAAACTAACCAAGCCAAACTAACCAAGAAAAAAAAAAATAAGAAGACACAAACTGCCAGTATCAGAGATGAGAGAGGGATTATTGCTACTGTTCCTATCAACGTCAAAAGAATACTGAAACGAAGTCTTTGTGGTGATATGTGCTTTCATTTCTCTTGGGTAAATAACCTAGGCAGACAAGGACTGAGTTGTATGTCAAGTAGATATTTAACTTTGGAAGAAATTGCCAGTGTTGTATGTAGTGGTTGTATCATTTTAAATCCCCACCAGCACTGTGTAAGAATTTCAGTCGTCCTACATCCTTACCCATACCAGGTATGGGCCATCTTTTTAATTTTAGCCATATGTCATTGTGGTTTTAATTTGGATTTCCCTAGTGACTATTGATATTGAATATCTTTCTGTGCGCTTTTTTGCCATCTGTATGTCTCTAATGATGTATATAAATCTTTGGCCAGTTTCTAATTTTTTTTTTTTTAATTACTGAGTTTTGAGTGTTCTTTATCTCTTCTGGGTACAAGACTTTTCACAGATATGTGATTTGTACATATTTTCTCTCCCATTCTGAGGCTTGAGTATTTTTTTATTTTAATAATGTCTTTCAAAGAGCAGAATTTTAAATTTTTGTGAAATACATTTCATCACTTTGTTAGTTTATAAATTGTGTTTTGGTGTCATATCTAAGAAATCTTTGCCGAATCCAAAGTCACGAAGATTTTTCTATGTTTTCATCTAGAAGTTTTGTAACTTTACTTTTTTACATTTTATATTTTAGGCTTATGATCTATTTATATTTAGGTTAAAATTTAGGATTTTTTAAAAAGATTTTATTTATTTGACAGAGAGACAGAGAGAATGGGAACACAAGCAGGGGGAGTGGAAGAGGGCAAAGCAGGCTCCCCGCCAAAGCAGGGAGCCCGATGCGAGGCTCGATCTCAGGACCTTGGGACCATGACCTGAGCCAAAGGCAGACGCTTAATGACTGAGCCACCCAGGTGCCCTAAAATCTAGGTTTTTACATTAGGTTTATGACAGTTTTAAAATAGTTTTGAGTTAATTTTTTATATGTGGTATGAATAACATATAGAAGTTTTTAAAGACGGGCGATTATCCCAACACCATTTATAGAAAAGACTATTTTTTCTATCCTTCTACATGTATGCTGCTCATGTTCCTATATTTAAAGTAGGTTTCTTGTAGGAACTGAATAGTTGACTCTTGAATTTTTATACAAACTGGGAATCTTTGCCTTTTATTTGGTATTTTTAGACTGTTCTTTTTTCTTTTTTTTTTTTTTTTAAAGATTTTATTTATTTATTTGACAGAGAGAAATCACAAGCAGGCAGAGAGGCAGGCAGAGAGAGAGGAGGAAGCAGGCTCCCTGCTGAGCAGAAAGCCCGATGCGGGGCTCGAACCCAGGACCTGGGATCATGACCTGAGCCGAAGGCAGCGGCTTAACCCACTGAGCCACCCAGGCGCCCCAAGACTGTTATTTCTATCTATCATCTTGATATTTTTTCTATTTGTTTATTCTGTTCTTTGTTCCCCCTTTTATCTTTTTCTGATTTTTTTGCATTAATTGTGTATCTTTAAAATTAATCCTCTTTAATTAATTGATCCTCTTTAATTAATCTTAAAATTAATCCTCTCTATCTCCTTTGCAGGCTGACTAGCCATACTTCTTTGCCATTATTGTGTTGTTTTGTGGTTGCTTTGGGATTCGCAATACACACCCTGACATCACAGACTGTTTTATGTCGTGTTATACTGTTGGCCTGTAACACAAGGAACTTACAACTATATTCTTCCACCTCTTTTCTCCTGGTGTTTGTGCTAGCATTGTCATACACTTGACCCGTACATATATATTATAAGTCCCATGGTACATGTTTACTATTTTTGCTTGTGTGTGTGTGTGTGTGTGTGTGTGTGTGTGTGTGTGTGAAATGTTCATGGTTAAACGGTAACAGCTAAAAGATCTGAGTTCCGATCCCAGCTCCACAGCTCCACCTACTAAGACACGGGGCAAGTTCTTAACTTCACTGCACCTAGGTTTTGTCGTTGACAAGATGCTAACAATGTCCAGGGCTTTGTGATGATTTAAAGGAGATGTCTGTGAAGTGCTTAGAGCATAAAGAGACTATACAATTAAACAAGAATTTTAAAATGATTTCTTCCGGGATGCCTGGGTGGCTCAGTGGGTTAAAGCCTCTGCCTTCGGCTCAGGTCATGATCTCAGGGTCCTGGGATCGAGCCCCGCATCGGACTCTCTGCTCAGTGGGGAGCCTGCTTCCCCCCACCGCCTGCCTCTCTGCCTACTTGTGATATCTGTCAAATAAATAAATAAAATCTTAAAAAAATAAAATAAAATGATTTCTTCCCTCCACTGAACTCCTAGGGTCCATGTTCCATTCAAATTAAGCAGTGACACATTACAGGAACTATGAGCTCACAGCCACGTGGAGCCAGGCAAGTGCCGTGCCAGTGTTAAGGAAACTACGGCTTCTTGTATATTGATGTCTTATACTGCATTTTTTTAACAGACCCATATGTTTGCATATTAAAATGTGTAGGAATACTCTTCACTCCATGAAGAAACATATTTTCTCTAAGGGTTGTATTCAAAATATTTAACAACTGGCCTGTAGCCTGGGCTTTCCAGCTGGGTGCCTAGGGCCATGGGGCAGCACACGGGAACCCGGCAGTGGTTATTTACAAACCAATACAGAAGTATTTCTTACCAGCCTGTGCCACCTCAATATCAGCCTTGGTTCTCTCCAATTTTTTTTTTAAGATTGTATTTATTTATTTGACAAAGAGGGAGAGAGAGAGAACACAAGTAGGCAGAGCGAGAGGAAGAAGCAGGCTCTCTGCTGAGCCGGGAGCCCAATGCGGGAGTCAATCCCAGGACCCTGGGATCATGAACTGAGCCAAAGGCAGTCGCTTAACCAATGAGCCACCCAGGCGCCTCCCTACTTTTTTTAAACATGCAGCTTCTTGGCCTGTCCTTTGTTTTCCTGTTTTTGATGGAGGCTTGAGTACAAAGAAACCATCTTCTTCTGTAAGCGCCCGCCCCAGCTCAAGCAGGCAGCCCTCCTTCAGCTCCAACCGAGCATTATCTCGTGCCAGTTGGAACCTCTGAATTTTCAAGAGAAGCTAGAAATGCAGATTTTTGTACTGAATCTTTGTTATCTCGATAATTTTTAAATTCTGTGCAGGTCAAAGACTGTGACCTCTAGCTTATTATATATTCCAGACATTGCAAGAGTTAACAAAGATGTGAATTCCTCCCCGAAGGGACTAATCATCTGACTAAGAGGCTGATAGGCAAACACCAGTTCCCTGTAGAGTAGGATGCTGGGGTGTAAGGGCTCAGATAATCAGGAACTTTTTCTCGTGTGTATGTCTTATCACTCACTCCAACACGAGGATGCTGTGCTCTGTTTGTCCTCAGCACTGAGTGCCTGGCTCCTAATGTTTTGATTGAGTTGTCCTAATGATCTCTTAATCAGTTCAGCTGTTGTGAACATATGATAACATCGATGTCCAACTATTTACATTAAGTCATCATCTCTGCATAATCAATTTGGTAATGAGTACCTTGCAGACTGTAGACAAGCAATACTCCCTTCTGGAATTGAACCAACCTATTCTGCTAAGTAGCAGTTGGTTGAAGAAACAGACGACATGTGAGGGGCACCAGGATGGCTCAGTCGGTCGAGCGTCTGCCTGCGGCTCAGGTCATGATTTCCAGGATCCTGGGATGGAGCCCCACATCGGGCTCCCTGCTCAGTGGGGATTCTGCTTCTCCCTTTCCCTCTGACCCTCTCTTGCTCATGCTCTTTCTCTCTTGCTTGCTCTCTCTCAAATAAATAAATAAAATCTTAAAAAAAAAAAGACACAAACTGTGATAACAGAGCAGAAGGGAATCGGGAAAATGCAGGGCATCCTTATGAGACTCATGTGGGAAATCAGATTTGGAAGCCGACTACAACTGGCACCTCCTTCCCAGCCTTTGTGTTCTGTGCCAAATGGGCCTCCTGGTTACTCTCCGGATACAAAGACAGAGACTAAAACCCAAGTAAACAATTTTGCCAGAAAACAAAACCTCGCTATAGCTTATTACCTGTGAAAAATAAGCGAATGCCTAGAAGTGTTACAGGACCAACAAGAACTGTGGAGTGTTACTACTACTGACCGATCAGTTCATCTCCCTCCTGGCCTTTTACCTCTGGATGCTCAGAACATGTGTTATCTGTCTGTGTGTGGCTCTTTTTCCCCCCAGAAACGCTGGAATCCTACTCTGGGCTGTCCTGCAACCCGCGGTGACCGTACACAGAATCCCGGTCTGCTGCACCGCTGAGCCGGCCCTCCACGGACAGCCCCGCAGGGTGTCCCCACAGTTTCACCGCAATCAACAATGCTGCAGTGAACATCACCCCTGGATATTTTAATATGCTTTTTTCTCTTAACAGGACTTCGGAACCTGAAATCATTACAGAGTCTGGACCTGTCGTTCAATGGGATAACGCAGATCGGTCTGTCGGACCTCTGGAACTGCCCACGGCTGGAGAACCTCTACTTAAAAAGCAACAAGATATTCAGGATTCATCCAGAAGCCTTCAAGGACCTCAAGAAGTTACAGGTTATAAAGTGACTTTTAGAGGATTTCCAATACGCAGGCAGCTGGACAATTACATTAGAATATTTCTGCCAGAGAGTTTCTCCACACCCAGGAGTGCTGGCTATTAGTTAAAAACTAGAAGCCTATTTTAAGTCTCGGCTGAAATTGCTGAAGTCTTTCTCTTGCCTCAAAATCAAATGCCTCAGTCATAGACATGAATTTCACTCGAACATAATATTCAGCCGCAAGAATTGGCACATTATTTTTCTAAATCAAATTAAACCCAACTCCCAGTTTCCACTTAACCGTTGGCAGGAAATTCAATCCCGGTGATCCCCGAGGCTCCCGCCCTGAGCTGCAGGGTGGGTCACAGGTCCCCGGGGCTTGCGCAGTCTGGAGCACTTGAGGCCGCTCCTCCGAGCCACCTCTGGGTGATGCTTAGCAGCCTTGGACGGGACATTGTGGGGCCCTGAAGGCCAGTGACTCCGCTGCTTCCAAACCCACACGGGGCGTAAATAATAAAAATAATCATAATAACAGCCCATACTTGTAGAGTACTTACTATGTGCCTGTCTCTCAGGCACCTTGCGGTTAATCTCACGTGCTGACAGCTGTGAACGAAAGGGTCCCCCCGCCAACCCCCCAACCAAAGCCCTGATGGGGCTTGGCGGCTGCAGCCCCTGCCCCAAGCACTTTGCTCCACCCTCCCCACTCTTGGTGGTGGGTGGGGGGCGGATTACAGTCTCCCTGCGATGCTCCTTTAGAAAGGCCAAAGGGCTTCCAGTGGGACACCTACCGAGGTCTTAGGGAAAGATTCAGTCCCCCATACCCTCCATCACAGACCCTCACTTTTTACACAGCCCTGCATCATTTGGTAGAAACAAACTGCGAGCCCCATAGGCAATTTTAGACGCTCTAGTAACTAGATTCAGGAAGTAAAAATAAGCAGATGAATTTCGTTTAGTAATATATTTTTTAACCCAGTATCACCAAATATTATCCTTAACCCATGTAACCAATATACAGATCATTAACGAGATATTTTACAGTGTTGTTCATGCTAAGACTTCAGAGCCTGGTGAATATTATCTGTACCCACAGCCCAGGGGGATGAGTCACAGTTCAGTGCTCGAAAGCCATGTGTGGCTAAAGGGCCATCATACTAGAGAGCATCGACATAGCTGATTTTTCCCAGTTTTATTTAAAGTGTTATTCAAGTATAGGTGGGAGACAAAATTCCAGCTACCACCTGTAGCCAGAGCCCCCCAGGTCCCTCCTCTACCGAAAGGAGGAGAGTGAGGCAGCGGTAAGGTCGGTGGGCTCTGGGCTCAGCTGCCCGGGTGGAGACCCACCTAGCTTCTGTCACGTTGCCGCCACGCAATCTTGGGCAAGTCACCGCGTCTCTCTGTGCCTCAGTTTTCTCAGGTAACGTCATTCCTTTCTGATAGAAGTTCGTGAGATTTAAATGTTTTAATGCACATAACATGTCTTGAATGGTACTTGGAATATAGCAAGGTCTTTCTGAATGAAGACTGCATAGAGAAATTCGAAAGTGGCCACAGCGCCCCACCCTCTGAACATACAAAACTGTGCCACTTCTTGTTAAAAATCCTTCTAAGCTTTCCCAACAAGGGCTGGCCCCTGCCTGCCTCTCCAGCCTCATTGCACAAGACACTCCCTTGCTCCCTTGCTTTTTCCTCACTGCTGAAATCATTTAGTTTTAGGTATCGTTCGTTGTTAGTGCCTCATCCTCATAATCTCTTTGAGGATGGACATCATCATCTATTTTGCTTTCTAGTGCTTAACATATATCTAATTCATAACGTGTATCAAAAACACTTGCTGTACAGAGGAATGGATAAATGAATGATGCTCATGAGTAGGAAGGTCACAAATTACTACCAAGTTGGCAGTCCAAAACCACACACATACTGTCTCATAGAACATTCTGATCTGGGGGGTCAGGAAGCCAGGCAAGGCCCTGGGTCCTTTGCTAAGGGTATTTCAAGAGGCCAAAGTCAAGGTGTCGGCCAGGGTTGGAGACTCCCCTAAAGGTCCAGCTGGAGATGGACCCTCTGCCAAGCCAACATGGGTGTTGACAAGAGGCAGGTCCCAGTGGGCTGTGGCACTGAGGGCTCAGTTCCTTTCAGCCTCAGCCTGCCCTCAGTCCTGGGCCACATGGGCCTCTCCATTGAGCCTCAAGGAGAGAGCCTGCTAGCAAGAAAAACATGACAAGCTAATACAATGTCATCATGGGAGTGACATCACATTGTTCTGCCACATTTGCTGGCTTTGAACCAAGTTGTAGGCTCTACCTCCTCTCCATGGGAGGAGACTCCTCAAGGGCATGAATATCAGGAGGCAGGACCATTGGGGACCATCTCTGCCACAGTAATTATCAGAGCAGATGAGAAAAGAGCACTTGGCAGTGCTCCCCAATGCCCCACAAATGAGCTGTCGGATCGCCTGGGAACCACATTTCACATACTGTATACTGACCGTAAGTGTATTTGTGTGTGCAGTTGCCCTATGTCTGTTGTTATTTCCTATGCATTTTTACCGTGCTTCGTAAGTGTTCAGCAGCTCACAGGGAAGAGATGCTACAGGCAAACTAAAAATGTTTTTAGCATAAAACATTTAGCCCCAAGAATGTTTTAAATCATCTGCAATTCTCGCCCAGGATCATACAATTTCTCCTTCTCCATTATCCTATCTACATGTTTGCCAATGACTCTAAAAACTGGTTTCGGAACCTGATGAAACCATCTGGTATCAGAAAGCTAGAATATCAAAAGAGATGTTGATTTTTTTTTTCTCTCTTTCAGGAGAATGTATTTAGTACTTACACTACACTCCGTGTCTTCCCACGTGGGAATCTTTTCAGAAGCCAGATCGATTTTTCACATCATAAAGTCATCATCGTGTTTTGCTGGAATGAAATAAGTTTCACTGGCATTTCAAATTAGCATTCCTTTTCTTAAGCTTTCCCATTCTTCTTGGATACTGCGATTCGTGTAGCAACATTCGTTGCCTCCCAATCTTTCTATCATGCACACCCCTTTCCAATGATGGTGGATGGCTTTTTCTTTAGGCAAATTAGACTGTTCTTTCATCTTTATTCCTCCTGAATCATTTTATGAGTTTTCTGTCCTTGCTTCAGTTTTGTTTTCGGTTCCATGGTTTGTAACATAAGACGCCGGGATGAACAAAATGCAGATGCACTAAAAGGAAAATCACTGGCCGAAACACACCGGAGTATTCCCTTCTGTTGTTGGGGGGGGTGGTTCATAAGAAAGCTCTTGATCGCAGGCAAGGCCTGGCGAAGCGAAGTAGTTTTTTCTCCCCCAACCCCAAGTCTCCTTCCTTTTCTCGGCAACCTTTCTTTGGGAGTCAAGACTGCTTGGTTACTCAGCACTAAAAAGGTTACCCTCACTACCTCAGTTCAGGGAGAATTCTGATTCTACACGTGGTGGTCTTGGTCATGGTGCTGTTTGTTTGAATCAGCTCTTCTTAGGAATTTATAGAACCCAAGATGCCAATGCTGTTTTTTCCCTGGTGTTTATAAAACAATTGACCTGGGTGACATTCAGACTCTCTGACTTTCATTCATGGCCTACTTTTTTTTTTTCCCTTCCAGCAGGGTTTCCATTTTCTCTTTTGTGATTTTCTGTTCTTCTACCTACCACCTGGCCCTCCCTAAGCCCCATGCCCCCCACCTCCTGTGGCCCACTGCTCCCGGCCTCCTCCCCCCAGCCTCCCAGGCAGTGGGAGCCCAGGCTCTCCAAGACAGCATGTTCCAGAGGGAAAGGCATGCAGCCCTGGTGCTGGATTAGATCTCAGCTCTGACACTCCATTCATTCAATCCTTTCTCCTTTACTTACTGAGCACCCACTATGCACCAGGCCCCAGTACTAGGGGCTTTGTGGTGTGTACTATGTGACCCAGCCCAGTTTCCTCCTCTGTGAAAAAGGGGAGGGGAAGGTCAAAGCACCCAGTAGAATGCCTGTTGCACAGCAGCACTCTGCAAGCAGTAGCAAGAGCTACACCAGCTACCTTCCCCGCCGTATCATGTCATGGCCATCGCCAACTTCTGCAGTTCCCTGCTCTCTGTTTCCAGAGCCACTGAAGACTTTTTGTTCCCCAGGTCCCCCTCATTTCTGATTAGACTAGAAAAATTAGTCATCTGGGATATGCCAGGTGGCCATAGATGCAGGGAAATGTACTACTACCCTTGAGATAATTGTTGATCCAAAAGATCTCTCTTTGCTACTTCTCAACCACAGTTCTTTTGTGTTCTATGTTCTCATGGCCCAGGATCCTTGGTCACTTTCGAGATCACAGTGCTTCCAGAAATTCTAGACCTGGTATCTAATTCTAGACCTTGATAATCACAGGGAGTCTCGATTTTATCTAAAAGTACAAATTACCACTCAGAGGAGAGAAGGAAGAGGAAATGACTGGGCATCTGATATAGGCACCATACTGAAAGCCTTCACGTGCATCTAACCCTTACAACCACCCTAGAAGGGAGGCTCCTAAAAAATGAACAGTTTTCTGAGGCTCACAGAGTTGCTAGGGGCAGAGCAGAAATTTAAACTCAGTGTTCCCTAACTGTCAAATCAGGCCTAAATTCGTATTGCCTCCATAGCAATGTAAGCAATATCTGTAACTATTGTTGATTTTGTCTCTACATGTCTTCATTCACAGACTGCCCTAAATTTGTTTCTTTTCAAACAGGTTGTAGACCTCAGCAACAATGTTCTGACCGCCATCCTACCCATGATGGTCATTGCTCTGGAACTTCCACATCTGGAGGTGGACTTGGCCGACAACCCGTGGCAGTGTGGCTACAGCGTGGCAGCCTTCCAAAATGTCATTTCTGACTCCTGGAGGAAAACGTGGAATGGCATCTGCAGCGAGTCTGTGGGTAAGTCGGTGGTGCCTCTTCTCCCGGAGATGGTGTCAGCTGAACTGAGAAAAGCACGTGAAATAGTTAGTCTCCTTGGAAACCACGACAGTCCCCTTGAAAGCCAGAGTGTCGATTCGGGCATTTAGTCAGCCACTGGCTGTGTCACGGAAGACTCACTGGTACCTGTCTCCCTCGGCTCATGAATGATTGTCCTCACGTGATCAAAGAAACGTAGTTCCAGTGGCTCAGAAATCATTGGATTTGGTCAAAAACAGTAATTTCACAGGGAGACAAAGCCCCAAAATGTCACATTTTTTATCCCAAGTCTTTTTTTTCTTTTAAGATTTCATTTATTTATTTGAGAGAGTGTGTAAGCAAGAGCACACACAGGAGCAGGGGGAGGGGCAGAGACAGGGGGAGAAGCAGACTCCCTGCTGAGCAGGGAGCCTGAGGCTGCTGGATCCCAAAATCACAACCTGAGCTGTTCCCAGGACCCCGAGATCACGACCTGAGCTGAAGCCAAGTGCCCCAATCCTAATCCTTAACAAATAATTGATCAAAAAAGGAACTTTTAAAATGTGAGACATGATTATTTAAAGGGTTTGCCTCTGAAAACACTGTATGTTAACTATACTGGAATTAAAATAAAATGCATGCTAACCCTATGAAAGTATAATCCTATTTTATGTGTGTGTGTGTGTGTGTGTGTGTATACACACAAAACACACATATTTCAAAACTATGCTTTTCTTTGATTTATTCCCTGACATTCTCCCAAATTGCTAGACTAGGTTACTAGAGTTGAACATTTTGGAAAACTTTTGTTTGCCATTAACCATCTGGGCTAAATCTCCCAACTCCTAACTGAATATGGGGGTGGGGAGTAGGGTAAGGTTTTTTTGTTTTGTTTTGTTTTGTTTTTAAAGATTTAATTTATTTATTTGACAGAGACAGAGATCACAAGTAGTCAGAGAGAGAGGGGGAAGCAGGTTCCCTGCTGAGCAGAGAGCCTGATGCGGGGCTCGATCCCAGGACCCTGAGATCATGACCTGAGCCCTAAGGCAGAGGCTTAACCCACTGAGCTACCCAGGCGCCCCAGGGTAAGGTTTTTTGTAATGAGTTCTAGACCCCGTTCCATTCATGACTCACGACTGCCACTTAGGTAGAAAAATGGCCGTGCTTACCAGGTTCCAAAGAAATCAAGATCACAGAGAAGTCTTTTTTTTTTTTTTTTCAAGATTTATTTATGTATTTGAGAGAGAGAGCATGAGTGGCCAGAGGGGCGGAGGGGCAGGGAGGAGACTCTTCAATCAGACTCCACGCTGAGCACGGAGCCCCACTTAGGGCTGGATTTCCCCACCCGCGAGATCATGACCTGAGCCCATTATCAGTCAGTAAAGCTGCTCTTTGTCACGCAGTGTGCCCTTGAGACATAGCCAGGTGAGGACTGAGGGGGACCCACAGAGCCTTTCTTCCATGTCCACTCACTGTGTTTCCTCCCACCCCGCTTGCAGGGGACGAGGAGGCCTACCGGTGGACCCCCCAAAGCAGAAGTTCCAGGGAGACCCACCTTCCTCATCATCCCACGAAGCCTGTGAAAAGCCTCCCACCCAGCAGAGCCGAGAGGCCCCAGGCAGGCGGGTCTGAGCGCTCCGACACCCCGGGAACGGAGGGCGCCCCGGCCAGCGGGAGGCCCCACCGGCGGTCCAGGTGGGCTAGGAGCCCCAGGGATGCGCCCGCGGCTGGAAGAAAGGGAGACCCTTCCCAGGACCTCGCCCTGGCCGTCTGCCTGGCTGTGTTTATCACATTCTTCGTGGCCTTCTGCCTGGGGGCTTTCAGCAGGCCTTTCATTGACAGACTGTGGCACCAGAGATGCAGACGCAAGGGGCCCAGCTCGGACCGCGCGGATAACGCAGATAACGCGTACTGGAATGAGGGCTTCTGCGGCGACATGGAAGCTTCGGGGAAGGCCCAGCACCGGAGGACAGATCGGCCCCTCCAAGAGCCTGCCGTCCTCCACGCTGCTGTCATCCCCGATGGAGCCGCAGGAGAGGGCAGACGGGAGCAGGACCACTGGCGGAGCGGGGAACTGGGCAGTGACAGCAGAGGGCCAGGAGGGGGGAAGGATGACATACTTCTGAGTGACCGTGCAGCCCGTTCCGCTCCCCCAGGACGTCCAAATGCTGATCATAACCAACGAATTCCAGCAGGACGGGATCACATCCGCAAGGAATATGTTCTCGGGGAAGTAAATTATGCGACTGGGGCCCAGGAAGGTTCTCCCCGCACGCCTCCAGGAGAAATGGCAGCTTCTCTCTCCAAAATGCAAATGCATGTGAACGCAGAGAGGGCTGGAGAGAATGAGAGGTTCCCTTTGGAGTTTTCCAAGGAAATGCAAGGGGGCGGTTACCTGAATTTGCTGGACACACAGCAGCAAAGGCTCCAGGAGACCAGCACTGAAGAAGAGCCTCCCACCTCCCACAGTGCAGTCCCACTGAGGGACTGGGGAGAGCAGAGCCCAGCGCCACCCGTCTTTCCTCCAGGCTGGGGCCATGACGTGCCGGTCACTCCCACTAACATGGAACCGGTGCAGAAACAGGCTCCTTCGAGCCCTCAGTATACAATGGACAACAACTATGGATCTGATTCCGATGAAGGGTCTTTATTTACTCTAAGTTCGACAAGTTCGGAGGATGCAAGAAATGAGACCGAAGAAGAGACACATGGCGGGGACAGCCACAGAGCCAGCGAGCCCCCGGAGGATGGGGACCCAGGGGTGAGGAGGGACCATGTTACATCACTGGAGGATCCTGACGACCATATCCCCTGCCAGAAGATTCTGGAGGAGTGTGAGAATCAGGAGGATTGTTTTGAAAAATCTCTCATTTCTGGTCCAGACTCTGGTTTGTGTGAGAATTGTCTAGAAGGTGCCTCTGACACAGATACATGTGAGGGTGAACAGACCTTGCCTGGATGGCTGGGAGGTAACAGCCCCTCCAGTGATGAGCTTCCAGGCACCGTCCTCGGTTATTACGCCGCAGCTCTCCTATCGGAGACGGTAACGTGGCGTCACTCACTGAGAGACTTAGAGTTTTTCAACGCAGATGTTGTACCACAAACACCGCCATGGTCGGCTGAAGGTTCCTCAGACCCTGACAAGAGCGACAGTCACGAAAGAGACTCAGACATTTATAAACACGAAGGCTGCCTTCAGGAAATAAACACAGTTCAACATGATATTCCTCTCAAGATCACTGCAGGTGAAACCTCGCAACCTGCACAACAACATTCGGAAGGGGGCCACAGGAACTCCCACCTGATGGACACCGATGCGAGCCCTCTGGAGGACTCGGTTTCCAGAAAGGTTAGAAGCCGAACACAGGTGTTACAATCCAGTAGCGATGAGCCGACTCTCCAGTGTGAAAGAGGAGAGGGGGGTTGTGCTGAAAACGGTTCCAGGAGCCAGACACCGTTATTTCAAGAGCCCCCAGATGAACCCAGCTCACCAGGAGCACGCGAGCCCGTCGCTGATAGACAGGGGAGTAAATACTCAGAAGCGAACCTGCTACAGTCAGAAACAGACCACGTCCACGTCCACGTTCAAAGGCAGACCCGGGGCCACCTGTGGGGAGCTGGCCGGCTGCACGAGGGCCTGCTCTACTACGATGCGGAACTTGAAAATCAAAGGGAACTCAAGTAACATTTTGCGTTCAGATCGAAGTGCTTAGACGGACCCAGATTTTCCGTCCGGGTCTGCTGACCAGATCTTCAACACATTCTGCACAGAGAACCGTACAGCTTTCTGGAGGGTGATCATCAAATTATAAAGTGGTGGGGGGGAGGGTTCAGAGCAACTCAATATTTTTTCATAAGTGATGTCAAGAGAGACCATTTTGTAGACGGAACTGTAAATTAAAAATCAGTCTTCAAGAAGAGAAGTGGCGTTTTTTGTAAAAAGGAGAAGCTATCCTGCCATTGTCCTTAATTTGCCCTTCCTTGGTGGGACTCTCCAACCTGGGCTGTCAGGAGCTGTGTTCTCCTCTGTGTATCCACCTGCTTCTCTGGCATTTTCTCCACTTCCTTCCCGATACTCCTTGTCCACCTCGGCGTGCCTCTCAAAGAGCATTCCTCAAGGATCTAATCCCAGTCTTCTTGATGTTCCGCTCTCCCTGGGCCCCACTGCTTCACAACCAGTCCCACACAGACCACGCCCACATGTGCCCCACGAGGCCCCGCCTCCCTCCCAAGTTCCAGACTCACATTCTCAACCCCAGTAGCCCAAATCCACATAGATCATCCCGGCACCTAAAATTCATCATTTTCCTTTACAAATATGATCTCCCACAGTCTCTTTCTTGACCAAAAATATCATGACATCCACCCAGGAAAGAGACTAAACTTGCTGTCTTATCTCTGACTCTCTCTCATGCGTTTCCTGTATCTGAGTGACCTCTGAGCTCTCTGCCGGGGAAGTTCGTGTATGTCTATACAAGGAGACATTTCAGTGCGGCAGTCTGGAGAGAGCTAGGCAGTTGTTGTCAAACCAGGGTTTGCCCCGAAAGCACCCTTTTTCTTCTCAGAGTGTATATTTAGGGTGGATTAGGATGGGAGTGGACTGAGTTTGGGGGAAGGAACTAACCATCCCCCAATCCACGTGGTGGCATCACCACTAGCCTCCTAGGACCTGGCTTCTCAGTGACTCTTAACTTTGCCATCTCCACTCTCAACCCCCAAATAAGGCACACCCTTATCGAGCTCCTAGATCATTTGAAGGCTTTTTGGTGACCTTTAGTAATTCTCCTGGCCCACACTCCTCACCCCAAAAGTCTTACATTCTCTTCATCTCCCCACTAATCAAAAAACCTTCAACGCAGGCGCCTGGCTGGTTTAGTGGGGAGAGCATGCAACTCCCGATCTCTGGGCTATCAGTTCAAGCCCCGCATTAGGTGTAAAAAGACAAACAAACAAAAACCCAAGAACCCTTTGATGCGCACCATTGCCTATATAAAGACCGAATTCCATAATCTAGACTTTTCTCATGACATTGTCACTTCTGCACACATTCTGCATTCTGGTTTATATCATGTAGACCAATCATTTATTCATTTATTTTGCCAACCTTTGAGACCTTCAGTGGTCCCTGATAAGTTTCTCCCCTGTTGTTTGCCATTGCTATTTTGAAATCTTGTCCTTGAACTTTCACTGCGAATATTTAGGCTGTCAGGAAGGAAGCCCCCTCATTCCCCACCCCACAGCAGTACACATTATGACTATCCATGTCTACACTCCTCAGTTCTGAGCTAAGAAGTCAGCATTCTATGGTCAAGGTTAATCCCTCTGGTCAGCTTTTGCTGCAGTCCTGGGCACAGATCCATTCGTGTTTCCCATTCCTTCACTTCCAAGCTTTCCCTGTCTAGTGGCTCCTTCCCAATGACTAAAAGCATAGCCAAGTCCCTTCAACATTAAAATAAAAGGAAGAGGGGTGCCTGGGTGGCTCCATTGCTTGAGCATCCAACTCTTTTTTCTTTTTTTTTAGATTTTATTTATTTATTTGACAGAGAGAGATCACAAGTAGGCAGAGAGGCAGGCAGAGAGAGGAGGAAGCAGGCTCCCTGCTGAGCACAGAGCCCGATGCAGGACTTGATACCAGAACACTGGCATCATGACCTGAGCCGAAGACAGAGGCTTTAACCCACTGAGCCACCCAGGCACCCCTCTTTTTTTTTTAATGACTTTATCTATTTATTTATTTGAGAGAGAGAGAGAGCACAAGCGGGGTGAGGGGCAGAGGGAGAAGCAGACTCCCTGCTGAGCAGGGAGCGGACGTGGGTGTTGATCCTAGAACTCCAGGATCATGACCTGAGCCGAAGGCAGATACTTAACCGACTGAGCCACCCCAGACGCCCCCAAGCATCCGACTCTTGATTTCAACTAGGGTCATGATCTCAGGGTCCTGGGGTTGAGCCCCGAGTCAGGCTTCACACTCAGCAGGGAATCTGCTTCTTCCCCTCCTTTACCCCCTCCCCCTCCCCCCATTCAAGCTTTCTGTCTCTAAAACAAATAAAATATATTTTCTTAATATTTTAAAAAATCAAAGGAAGAAAACACCACCCTACAGCTCCCTCGATACTGCCTTCTCTTTAAATAGCTAGGCTCGGGGCACCTGGGTGGCTCAGTGGGTTAAGCCCCTGCCTTCGGCTCAGGTCATGATCCTAGGTCCTGGGTTCAAGCCCCACATTGGCCTTTCTGCTCAGCAGGGAGCCTGCTTCCTCCTCTCTCTCTGCCTGCCTCTCTGCCTATTTGTGATTTCTCTCTGTCAAATTAAAAAAAAAAAATCTTTAAATAGCTAGGCTCCACAAACGAAGGTGAAGGACCAGCAACAGGGGACCACCTTTCCCACCCTTAGGTCTGCAGAGACAAAGAACCTCTGCTACGCACACACAACGGGAGTGCGGACCTGGGCAGAGGTACAGAGCCACCAACAGTCCAGAATCCAGCAGGAGGAATCACCCAGCTTTGCTCTCTTCTGGCCCTTGTCTGTCATTCTGTCAGTACGTCCCAGCTGCGGACCTCTAGAAGCCAGAGAGCGAGAGAGCTCACACATGTCGTTCCCAGCGGGGTCACAAAGCAGGATGGAGGAGGGAAGAATGCAGAGCGGGAGCGGCAAATGGAGAATATCCAGCTGTGATTTCTTCTGATTCTTCTACTTCTCTGGTCATTCTTCAGGCTCCTTTCTACCCTTTCTTTCTATGCTCACCTGTGAAATACCTGCATTTCCCAGGGTGTGGTCTTGGAAACTCTTGTCTTCCCACTCAGTTCTCAGTCCCTGGGTGAGCCATCAATTCCACCACCACCGAATTGCTGAAATGCTTCGTTTCTGGGACTCCAGCTTTGAAATCCTCCTGGAACTTTACACGCACATCCCGCTGCCCCTGGGACGTTTCTGTAGGCGCTTCCAACCAAGTGTGTCCAAATGGAACTCCTTAGCTCCTCCTAACCCTCCAGCACGTCTGATCTCTGTGCCCCATTTCACTGTCCACTCAGTTGCTCCATCCAGAAACCCTGGAGTCACTCTTTTGACTTCCTCCTCTTCCCTTCCTCCCAACCTAATCCGTTGGTCATTAAGAGCAGCCATTTCTGGGTGCCTGGTGGCTCGGTTGGTTCAGCGTCTGCCTTCAGCTCAGGTCATGATCCCACGGTCCTGGGAGCGAGTCCTGCATCAGGCTCTCTGCTTGGTGGGGAGCTCGCTTCTCCTTCTTCCTCTGTTGCTCCCCCTGCTTGTGCTCTCTCACTCACTCTCCGTCTCAAATAAATACAAAAGTTTAAAATTTTTTTAAAAAATTAAAAAAGAACAGCCATTTCTAGCCCTTTAACTATCAAATCTAGTCCCTCCTCTCGGTCCATACTGTTACAGCTTTTGATCTCACACTGACCGGCTCACCGGGCTAGAATAACAGGGCAGGGCAGTGTGGTCTCTACCTCCAGTCCAGCAGGCTGTTGCTATCCCCCATGTTTCCACCAGGGGGCGGTTTATAAAATGCAAATATGATCACGAGGCTCCACTGATTAGCATCCATCTGGAGGCTACTAGCTTTTCTGTTCCTCTAGGGGCCCTACAGGACTCCCTGTCCCCAGGCCTTTGCCCCTGTCACACCCGCCCTCAATGTTCTTTCCAACCCCACCCAAAAACTCCACCCAAGCAAGCCCTCCTCTGACTCAGTAGCTCCTACTCTGTTCTCAGGTTCACGGTCAGGTCACTCCCTCCGAGAAGCCTTCTAGGATCCTCAGATTAAGTTAGATGTCTCCGTTACAAACTCTCAGGACACAAGCATCGTCCTTCACGGACCAGAGCTTATCCAGTAAAATTCCCTAGTTATTTGTGTGATTGTTGGTTTAATGTCTGTCTGCCCTTTCTATACTATAACCTCCCTGTGGACAACAACAAAAAAATGTGTCTTATCTCCCCAAGGCCTGCCATTTAGTACATTTCAATATATCAATGTATTAAATAAAGGAATGAAAACAAACTCTTCAGTACAAGGTACGAGGATGTCCATGAATCTGGCCCGGCTTTCCGGGCAGCTCTCCACCCAGAATTTATTTCATTGTGCCCTACCTCCTTCCCACCCCCCAAAGTCACAAGCGCGCTGGACAATGTCACTGCCCCACCCCTTACCCCACCCTGCTTCCACTCTCTGGTCTGCACCTCCGACCTTTCCACTATGCCCGGCCTCGCCTACCTGGCAAATACCTTCTCTGCTTTCAAGATACAGAGTAAGAAAAAAGTAAAAAAATAAAAAATAACAATAATTTTTAAAAAGATACAGAGTAAGGATCACCTGGTCTGTGAGTCTCTTTCAGCTCATTCCACCAGAGCAGAGTGGACCACTTCCTTCTCCCCACCCCGCACTGCACCCCTGTGTATTGTGGAAGAAAAACCAGGCTTCGCGCGACGAGAGTTCTAGAAGACCTTCTGTCTGCCAGCTTGCAATGGTTGGGTGAAATTCAGTTCTGACCTGGAGTCTATGAAGCAGAAAATCATCTCAGGGCGGGCGGTTATTTTATGAAGTGAAAAATTACTTTCTATTCTGGCATCACAGAGCAAAGGGATACACAGTTTTGACTATTTTTGTTTGTTTTTCTTCACGCTTCCAGGAAAAAAAAAAAAAGGCTTCTGGAAATGTGGCATAAACACCACAGGCATGGCAGGTAAGTAGCTCTATTTCTCAGCAAGCGCTTGTAAAATAAGGG